CCCTTACCCACTGCTCACGCAAGACCACCCTTACCCACTGCTCACGCAAGACCACCCTTACCGACTGCTCCAGGACAGCGCGAGCCGGAAAATCCACTTCCAACACCTCCTTCAAGTTTTGTAACACAGTGTTTCCAGGATCCCTGGAAGAATTGGGGGGGGGGAAGGGGGACTCAAAATCATTGCTATTAAATTTGTGAAAAATGTACAAAAGTTAACAGTTATAATGCTAATCAGACATACCACAAATGTATATTCTTGCTTAGCTTAATTCCCAGGGGCTTTACCACTTCAGATAATTTTTAAAAAAAGAAGAAGAAGAATTAGTAATTTACAGTTTGCGTCTCTCATTTTGCAAAGTCAGATTTGGCACAGAGTTAGCTTTTTTAACTACTTAAGACAATCCTAATCATAGAGTATGTATTTTAAACAATCATAAGGGTCTACAGTTCGGAATGACGACAGTTCATTTAAAATAATTATGATTAATATCTTATTTTATAATAATATTTTCACAGTGGTAGACACAGGATTTTATGATTCTTGTAAAAACACTTAAATCTGAGGTCTGATACCGTGGTCGGCTCCAAGAAAGGAGCACTCGGGGAGCATCGTGGGGTGCCTGGGGTCCACCTCGATGTAGATGGAAGTATTACTCCCTGGAACGAGAGAGAAGACCCGCGTGTTCGGAAGTGGAGCGACTCGCCAGCACAAGTCATGCGAGAAAGAGCAACTGTTCCCGGCTCACTTTGCGTAGAACCAAGAGGCCTGGCTGTGTAGTGAGTCGTGCTCACTGCTAACTCCCGAGCTGCACCACTAGAGCAAGACGAGCCTTTCTGATGCCAGCGCGAGGTACAGCCTCAGAAACCCAAGGGGCCAGGGGCAGCTCCGCCCCATCCGACAGGGCCCCCCGGGAGCGGAATGGACTCCGTCTCAGTGGAAGTGGGTTTGGATTTCACAAATCGGCCCAAGTACAGAGATTCGAAATACAATAAAGAGAGCAAACATGGTTTGATCAGATAATAAAACATTACCTGAACTCTTTTGTCTCATGTGAAGCTTTCCCTTTAAAGTTAACAAAGGGTTCAATTCACGTTTGAAATATGACTGGTATTTTTAGAAAGTTCACAGTTGATTTGTTTGAGATCAACTTGGATTCCAGTTTTTGATGAACATGTCTCCATAGTTCTTATACACTATGGATACACATTCTGCTAAAGATAGGTGATACAATTAATAATATTATTATACATTTGGGGCAAAATTTATAATAGAAGAAAACAATGACTACTTTAGCCACTGAATGACAAAAATAAAGATTTCTTTAAAATGTTATTTTATAATCCCATTGTTAACCCATTCATCATGAAAACCAATTGTCATTTACTTAATAGCTGCTGAATACTTGGGCCTAAAGGAAGCAAATCACAGCCTGGGGCGTGGGGGTGGTGTTTCGGAGGGCCTGGAGGCTAAGTCATGAAGGTAATTATAGACAGAAGGAAATCCAAACGAGGTCATTGATGTTTCACAAGGAAAAATAAAATAAAATACATTTAATCCTAAACTGGTATGAATGAGTCTTGAAGGAGCCATCACAGGAAATCCCCTGGGGACCCTCTAGGAGGGCAGAGCTGCCCCTGTGGGTTTCCGAGACTTCCTCTTCCTCTTCGTGGGAGTAGAAAGCCCCTCCTCCCACAGAGAAGCTGGTGGTTTCGGCTGGAGCTCAAGGGGCCCCTAGGAATCAGAGCCAACCTGGTGGCAGTGAGTTTGGGTTGAAGGGGCCCTGGTGGCTCAGTGGTGAAAAATCAGAGCACCAGCAGTTCCAAACCAACAGGTGCTCCCATCAGGTGAGTCTCGGAAACCCACAGGCCCTACGGGGTCACTACGAGTCAGCATTGACTCGATGGCAGTGAGTTGGAGTTTTTATAATGACAACATTTTTAACAATACTATAAATTCTTCAAAGAAAGTATTTCTATTCTTAATACCTAGTTGTTCCCAAATAGAGCATGATGTTCTCAATGTTTCCAAACTAAATGTTGAGACTTTTGAAAACTCGCAAACTGACAGCATTATTTGTAGAACTACTGTAGCATTATACCCTTTCTTCTCATATCGCTTTTCTCCCTCAACCTATTATGTTGAAGTCCTAACTAAAAATTGCTGGGTACTTTAGAGATGATTCACATCGTAATTTCAAAACATCCCATGGAATATACTATGCCTTTCAAATAGCATGTTTATAGAGGCAGAAGAAAAAGGAGAGAGATAAATGGCTACTTTATGACCAGGTAACTAGGGTATTTAATAAGAGGCCGAGATACGGTTTAAAGAGTCTAAGTAACATCTGGAGAGGCTGGACTATATAACTGGCTTTATGTACTAACTGCTCACAAAGAAAATGCAAATACATAATCATTTTATAAATAGGAACATGTTTTCTATGTGGGGATTTTTTGGTAAGAGCACATCTTATTCATTAATGTTATTCATTGAAGGTATTAAAATATTTTGCATTTTCCTATTCTGTTTACTCTTCAACGCGGGGGTCCCCTTCACTTTCATTCATCCGTCCCCTATGGCTCTGTCAGATCTCAGTCCTGGGGTTGTTCACACTCACACTGTGTTGCTTTCACAGATGAAAAACATAATTTACTTCAAACGTAATGTTGTTCTAGATAACACGAGATTGTAATAACTTGCTCCATTATTTCTGTGCTAATTAAAATCTAATTAAACACGATCTCTAAATGCTACTTCCATAACATCATCACCTTTTATAATGAAACACCTCAATATCTGCCCTTCTCACCTGAACGGCTTACATCTCAAGACGCAGACCTAAAAGGTACCACAGGGCAGCCCAGTATGTTTTCATAGTTGGTTTCTCACAACTAAGTGTTTCCTACGAGTGTCGCTTTAAGATTCGTTTTCCTAATACCAATTAAAGCAAGAGCACTTTC